GCCACTTGCATAGCTACGGAAGCGGAGCACCCAGCCCCGCCGAGTGCAGGAGTAGGACTTACTTCTCACACCCGGGGCTGCCGAGTGACCCTTCCAAGCATTCCGTGGATCAATCCATTCCATAGATTGTGCGGATAAAAACACAGATAGCCTTGCTGACTAGACTTGACGTCAGTGTCACGAACTGCTGATCATGCGTTGAGCCCCTTTTTCCCGTCACTTTGTTGTTCTTTCTTGCGATCCCCAGTTCTCTTTGCCGGTTGGTTGCCTTCTAGTTGGTGACTCACCTTGCAAAGCTGCCACCACTTTCGTATTGGTGTCACTTGACAAAGTGTAGGGCCCCAAGACCAAGCGCTGTGTGTCCCAAAGCCAGGGCAAAGCGGCACAAAGCAACCTGCCTGGATCGCTCTCCGGCTCAGGAAGACGCGTCCAGAGGCAAAGCACAACATGTTTTTTTGAACACCTTTTGCAGCCTGAGCCCGGTCAACCGCAGGTAACTTCAATCACAGCCCGGGGAGATCTCCGCCTCTCAGGGCGAGGCAACCAAGGCCACGCCCCGCGCCTGCCGCGCCTGCCATGGGCGATGACTGACCTGGAAGCGTCGGTCATCAACTCTCTGTGCAGATGCAAGCAAGGCGATGGGGTGCAAACGGGGACGAGGGGGGCGCAGACTTCTGGCATGTGTTTTTGTTTCTTGCAACAAAAGCCGGTTTCTGCGGCATAGGGATCGATCCTGTTCCATTTCTGCCCTGTCACGGCCGAATCGAAGGACTGAGGCTTCATCACAGAACTTCCCCCAGCATACTGCAGGTTTATTGGGGATGGTTTAACGCAAGACCTTCAGACCTGCTTAGCTTGTCTTTGACATGCTTGCGGGAGAAAAGACCAATGGTATCATTTTGGTAGGTGCACCACCCATTTTAGAACCTATTTTAGTGGGGATTGGAATGTTCACTGGGGGTACGATTTGGATTTTGACCCATGACCATGGCCGGCTCCTTCGACTGCAGGTGAGCTCAAGAAAGGCCTCGGCCCCAGGCTTTGTGGCGCTTTCTGTTGGCCACGGCGGTTTATTACTCGACAGCAAGCGCAAAGGGGCATCTTGAAGGGGCGATTGGGTACTTAGTAAGTGGGGAAAAGTTATGCGTATTACCCACTTCTCAAGTAACCAGTAACCTGCCCGTTTGAGCATGATGAACTCAATCTCGTCCAGGGAGTTCAGGGATCCTGAGCAAAACTTGTGGGAATCAGAAGCACATGTTGTCTCCGTGCACTTCCGGCACCAAATCTGTGCCCTGCAAGATTGGACTGCTGATGTGATAATTTTGGTGGTTCGCTGCCTTTAGGGACCTAGTTGCACCATTTTGAAACATGGCACGAGTCCTCCACGTGTTTTAGTCATTCCTTGGACTTACCCACATACTGTGGGTGGACGAAATGCTGCACCACTTCGAAACCATTGTTCATTGGTATTTACCGGGGAATCATCAGAAACCAGGGTTTGATAGGTGCAGAATTTCGTCCATCCACACTAGGCACAGAGGGTCCAAGTACCTTCTAAGCAGGTACTTAGACCGCTGTTTACCCCCCAAAAGCCATCCTCAGGAGGTACTTGGACCCTCTGGGAGGGATGAGTTCCATCTATTTTCACCCTGAGATGGGAACTGCGGCCATTGAGCCGATTCGATCCGAGGTGAGGACTCCGCCTACCGCACGCCCATCCCGGAGACCGAGGATCATGCCGAGTTCTTCCTCTGTGGTGAGCCTCCGGAGGACGAACGCCACGAAGCCAACAGCCCCATAGGTGCCCTTTAATAGATGGCACTGGTTTAGATTTGGTTCTATTCCATTAACCAGGCCATCTATTTTACCAAAAGGGAGCCTATGCCAACAGCCCCTCCGCAAATTGACATGGCCCAAAAGAGCAGGTACCCCAAAGGAGATTCTTCTAGCACTGCTGCCTTCTTTGAGTTTCGTCTCATGGAGGGCTTTTCTCCACGAAGTACGTCCGGGTGGGGGAGATTTGTTTGGTGTGCTTGGCTTCTTGGCAGAGCACATTACGCGAGCAACTTAGTTTGGTGTTGGAGCAGTCGGATGAGCAAAGGCTTGGGGATGGAGAAGCTTGGTCCCCCTTTGCCTTTCCATTGACTCTGCTAGTGATTGGGAGGGGGTCATGAGGCCCCTTCTGCACGAGCACAGGGCACCTGGGTGCCCTGCATGTTTCGTCACGTACCACTTCGCGACAGGAAGTCCAAAAGCAGTCCAGCTGAACGATGTCTTCCTTCAAGAGTTCCCTTCTTGCCCTCAGCAAGAAACCAGATATGGGTCATCGGAGGGGTTGCCTGGACGAGTGGATACTTCCCTGAGCATTGACATGGATCACCAGAACCCAACTTTACAAGAGGATGCAATGGAACACAGTGTTTCCAGAGTCTGGAGAATCTCTTTGGGATGTGCTTAAGAAACAGAGCAGGACACCAACCCCCGTCCCATTTTAGGAACACCCACCTCAAACACACTCTTGAGGGGTGCATGATCTTCAGGCAGGGCCCCAGACCCTCAGGCCCACCACTTCCACCCAAGCATGTATTCCAAGGCTGCACTGAACTGAGGCTGAATGATAAGAAGCAATCCGTCATGACGGCAGTTTGGTTACCCACAACTCCATGCTACAAAGAGGGTTGTGTGAATTGTGTTTAACAGTTAACTCTTGATTCCCTTCAAAGGGACACCCAAAGGTAGTCTTCCATTCGCTTAAGAGCATTCATTCATTCTTGTTATTTTCCCCTGTTGGTTTTAAAGGGACTCAATTTCACTACCTGGACATATGTTTCTCTTTTCTTCCAGGGGACGAACCCGCGAATGGAGGTGGTGCAACCACGTGGCTGTGGGTCAAAAATGGGTACCCAAAATGGGTTGCCCCGGTAAATGGAACCAAGGACGATTTAACCTGCGGTCCGATTCCTGGTGGTTTCATTTTGATCCACAACCACACTGGGCATGACGTAACAATGTCAGCGCGGCCCTTTTTTTCCAGGGGACGAACAAGCAAATCGAGGTGGCTCAAACGTGTAGAGACGGTCAACGCCGTCGCATCCGCCTTGAGGAGCCCTTGCCTCCAGAGGAGGTCCCGCAGCTGCCGAGCCGCCCACGAGAAGGAGACACAAGAGTCGGGGTGAAGGAAAGCAACTCGCAGCAGGGGGAACGAACGAACGAATCCGGGTCTCTGAGCACTGAGTGCGCGACCTTCAGGGAGTTTGGGGGTGGCCAAATAAAAAAGCACAGCAACAACTTGTGTTTGTGTGTTTGTGTTTGTGTTTGTGTTTGTGTTTGTGTTTGTGTTTGTGTTTGTGTTTGTGTTTGTGTTTGTGTTTGTGTTTGTGTTTGTGTGTGTGTGTCTGTGTTGGGGATACGGGAGGGTTCCCCCGTTTGATGCACCTTGACTAAGTTCATGGGAAATGGCGAGGGAATCCATATCTCCATTTCCCCGCTCCCTCTGTATTTCCGCGGAATTTTGTTTGTCCAATCGGGGTAAGGGGCACCCCCCCTGGGGCCATGTTGCTTGGTGGCAAAAACCAGCCATCCGGCTTTTTGGCTTTTTAGCTTTGTTTTTTAGCTGTTTAGCTGTTTAGCTGTTTAGCGTTTGGTGGGGTAGTTTCCATTAAACCCACTAAGACTTCAGCTTTTAGCGCGGAGGATCTGAGGGCATCCCAGTTTCGTAGGCTCGGTTCGGGTGCTTTGCACATGTGGGTGGTCAAGAATCGCGACATAATTTGAAGTACCAGAAACCTTCACGAACAGTTAGTGGCCACCCCATGCCTTCGCCTCGCTGAGACTTGCCTTGCGGTGCTTTCCGGAGAGTCGCGTTTCTTTCATCAGGAATCCAGGCTCAGGAGTGGAGACGCATGTTGACCCCATAAAAAAAATTACCCCAGTTTGAAAATATGGGGGTGTTTCCCCTCCAAAAATGAAAAACCAGGGAGAAGCACCCCCATATTAGTATACAGGGGTTTGTTAATCCGGGCTCAACATTATGTCTTAAGATGTGAGACCTCCGGATGGGTTCCTTGAAAAGGAAACCAGTGCCATGGAAGGCGGGAACCCATTTCGAGACCCCTGGCTAGGACTCATCACGTACTCAGCTGAGATGGATCTGCCACTTGGCATGCCTTTAGATGATTTGGGCCGGATCAATCTCCTTGTTGGATCAAGGTCCTTGTCTAAAAAGTCCAAGTGGGTGCCGGATGGCGCATACTTGTTTGTTTCCCGCAAGGAGATAGCAAGGGGATGGACAATTGTCACGTTGAACCCTCCGCAACAGGCGTGCTCAGGGACTTTCAGCTTCTACCGCAGCCCCCAAGACACCAAAGCCTCAGAAAGGCCTCGGAATTGGGTTGTTTGGGGTGCGAGTGGTCCCTTAATGCGCTCCGCGGTTTTTACATGAGGCCCGATTTGATAGTGCCATCCCGGCTGTATATGCCAGTCCTCATCCAGCTGTCTTTGATTCTCTGAGTTGGTCCTTGTGTCTCACGCTCTTTCATTTTGCCGTTTTGGCGCAGCGCCAAATGCAGTCAGGGCTCGCAGCACCTACCCAGAGGGTCCAAGTACCCTTTGACTCACCTGGCCAGTGGACACATTCTATTTTTTTCCCTGGTGGCTCTCCCTTTATGTTCAAAAAGTGTACACATTTGTTGGGCTGGTCACTGGCCAAGTGAGTTGAGGATGGTTTTTTGGTGGGTTCGAAGGGGGCAAATAAAGCATCTCAGAAGCCCTCGGGCCGGGCGGTTGTCCAAATACAGACCTGTGTGTTCCTGATGACATTCGCCCAGAGCATGTGGAGTCATGAATCTATCAACCCACGAGTGTGTGTTTGTGTGTTGTTTGGCTGTGTTTGTTTGTTTTGTTTCTTTGCTTTCTTTGTCTGTTTGTCTGTTTGTCTGTTTGTTTGTTTGTTTGTCTCTTTGTCTGTTTGTCTGGTTGTCTGTTTGTCTGTTTGTCTGTCTGCCTGTCTGTCTGTCTGTTTGTTTGTTTGTTTGTTTGTTTGTTTTCTTATTTAATTTGTTTATTTATTTATTTGTATTTATTTATTTAATGGTTTGTCTCTGTGCACGTTTATTTCTTGTTGTGTTTCCTTGTTCGCTGCCACCCGCACCGCGCCACAACGGCCCGCGCTGCGAGGCCGCTCAACCATCCGCCCATGAGGTCTGGCGAGGCCGGGGAAGCGGTTTTGGGCGTCTCTGGTATAGATGCTGGCGCCATAGGCGCGGAATGAGAATTGGAACCTCCAAAATTGGGGGTTCAACCAGCAACTCTTGAGTTTTCTTCAAAGGGACACCCAAAACGGTGGTGTAAAGCATGCTAGTCTTCCATTTTCTGACAAGAAAATTGTTATTGTTATCCCCTGTTGGTTGTAAAGGGAATCTAATCACTACCGGATCTTTTTTGCATAAGCAAGTGCAATCATGATTACCTAGTTCATTGCAAGCTCACCGATTCGGAGGCAACACGAGTTCACAATCAAGGAGCTTTGCTTGGTGATCCCTCGTTTCGGGTTGTGCATATGAAACTGAAGGGTCCCCGTCTGATACACGATGTTCTCCCAAAACGAAAAGGGTCTGTTTTGAAGTGTGACACCCTTTTTGAAAGTCAGCGGTCAGTTGTTTTTTTACGTGAAATGCAGGCACCATAAGCCGTCATCAAGGGAACAAACACGAGTAAACCTGAGTGCACCCGGTTGCAACATCTTCAACCATATAGATTTGGTATGCATGTGTCATCGCTTTTGGTCCCGGGGCTATTGAACGGTACCCCATGCCTGTCCTTGCAAGAAGACATTTATTTTCCACTCACTGTGTTTTGAGCACATGTCAATGCCCACGTGCAAAAGCGAGGTTTCTGCCCCGGCCGACGGCTTGCTTTGTCTCTGAGGTCTAGTTGGACTCTCTGCGCGTTGGTTGCATGCGCAAAGTTCAAGTTCTTGGTGTTTGGCATCTCTATCATCCCCGAAATTTTGCGCTGATAGTGTGCATGTGGTTGGCATCAGGTGAGACTACACGTGATGCAAATAAACATGTTGACTTGCTGGTTTGCACAATGGCAAGACATGAGATTGGAAGCTCAATAGGGTTGCTTAATTGCTGAGCTCGCCTGGAGCAAAAAAAAAAGGTACACGCCACGGGGGACATCATTGTATGAGCGTAAGCAAGTCCAACGCCTGTGTTAAAGTATATGTGTTTTAGCATGCTGAGATACAGCTGCCTTATGTCGCGTAGTTTACACCTGTGTCTCGCCTCGCAAATCGCCTACAACCTTGTCATTGCAGCGCGATGCCAGACTATTGTAATTCAACCAAATCAGATTTTGCTGCTCCAGACATGGGCTGTCGAACGCTTTGCACAAGGTGACTGTTGCCGATAGAAAGGTCCAGAAGAGCCTTGGTCAATCATGATCACCTATGGGATCTTACCTCATGTCAGGGACTAAGACGACATGGGTCCTTGCCTGCAGCTACCAGTCATGTTGTCGTTCTTGCACGCCAGCAAAGGTATGGGGGGTTGAAGGTCAACATTCGGTGCTTCTCAAGGAGGTTTTCGCGCCTTATCGAGTCGCTCGAGCTCGAGAGGTGTGGCATCTCTGCCAAGAAGATGGAAAGACCTTCGAAAAGGTGATCCTTTCCATCCACTCCAACGGCTTTTCGATAAGCCACCTGGCAAGGGTAACAAAAAGTGTATACCTGGACCTTCCAACATGTAAAATTAACGCCGTTTCCCAAAACAGCAATAATTTTCGCCGGTTGCTGAAAAAAGCACTCTTTCGGAGAAAAAGCGCTCGCCGTGAGTCCAGCTCGGAACCAGGCAAAAAAAGACGCTGTTTCGCCGGCAAATTACGCCTTTTTGACGGCAAATTACGCCGTTTTGCAATTTTTATTGATGCTAGAGTGTGCAAACACTGAAAACTGCCGGCAGGCGAAAATACTCGCCGTTGGGTCAAAAGGCATAGTTTTTCACAAAACAGCAATATTTTTGAACATGTTGGAAGACCCAGGTATATATATATATACATATATATACCTGGATCCTCAATCACCCTTCGTTTATGGGGTGGTGCTGTGTTGCATTCATTTTTGGGGTGTTTTGTCATTTTTAGGGGTGTTAGTTCCATGTTTGGGTGTTTTCGTTTTTCCATGCGCTGCGTTGTCAACCCTGCAATTTCGCTAGCGGTGTGTTTTACTTGTTTGAATTAACAACGTTGTTGTTCACTGCGCAGGGCTTGCTTGAAAGATACAAGTGCCAAGTCAAGCAGCGGCGCGGACCTTGCTGTCACCCAATGTCAAACCTCCAGGTTCAGCTCAGCTGCTCAATGCCTTTGATATTGGAATGAAATCAATCATCAAACATAATTTGACATTGGCCCAAACCAACACAACACAAGGGAAAACAAAAGCCGCGTTATTAGCCCTTCATTTTTGTGTGAGAAAAGCATTTGTGAGTTGCACAAGTTAAGAAGGCTGCTCCGTTGCGTGCTGCCTAGTGTTGGAGCCGATCACTGAGTCGCAAAGCATCCAAGTCAGGTGTTTCCTTTGGAAGCGAGCAGGTGGCTTGGTGCACCACAACTCAAACTGATGTTTAGGAGGGCGCTGCGACAATGCAAAGAACCAACATCCCTTAAAACAGGAGTTAGACATTTCGAGTTGTTTCTTCTAGTGTGTGCGGTCTTTGCGCGGCACACATCACAAACGGTGTTTCATGGCAAAACCCGGTCTTCTAATGGCTTGAAACAGTCTGCCATGCGCAGTTCACCGCATGTTCATGTAATGTCACTCTACTTTCACGACTGTAGAGTCCAAGAAGGTATAAGTTCAATGAACAAATATTGTCGCAACAAGTTGAGAAGGATAGCTTTCGCAGATTTTGTAGCAGCGCGATGGGAGTGATTCCGCATTTGTCCACAGCTCTGTGCCCTTGGGCCATGTGCCCAAAGTTGTTTCAATCTACAAACAACACAATAAACATTTTACTTAAGCATGATATACAATACTTTGCAAATTCGGGTATGTTCTATTTCACCATGCCTCCTAGATGATCAAGTTCACATGTTGCTTCAACTGTGGTTCTCTGGCTAATGAGACTCAGCGCAACATGTACCAGTTGCCCTTAAAGTTGATGTCCTGAAGCAAGCATACAGCCAAAGGGTCCAGTCTGTATATGATAGCAGGCAAGCTTGCAACACCTGCTATTCTGCGAACAGTAGCTGTCACTAGCAATTGAATGGTCGTTCCGTAAGCTCAGTATTCTGCGAACAATAGCTGCCACTGGCAATTGAATGGTCGTTCCGTAACGTCCACCTAGGAATAAACATTGCACCTGGAATAAAGACAAACAGGTGGCCCCCCCAAAAAAAATGCACCTGGAATAAAGACAAGCACCCGCCACCCCCGCCCACATTTTCTGAACGAAAAGTATAAGGAACATGACAAAATGGAACAAACAGAGAAAGAAGAGGAGAGGTAGCCAAGCCAACACCTGGTCCTTAGATCTTTGGTACCTTGTTCTTCAGCTCCCCAAAAATCAAACTGTCCAGCTGCCCAAGAAGTCATGGTTTCTTACATGTCTCTTGTTTAAAAAGGCCCCCAAACTTGAGCCCAAGACTTTATTTCAGGGGACCCTACAATAAAGTCTTGTTGTCTGGCCCCCTGCAAATATACAACTAGCCCAGCGTAACTACCTATGAAGCTTCGGGCTTTGTTGTTAGATTTGGGCCTGCTTCCCAAAATCAAACATGTCCAGCGTCCCCAAGCTCTTGTTTTCTTGCATGTCTCTTGTATAAAAACTGCCTACAACCAAACCCACAAACAACCTAGTACTTCAGAAACTTCACCCCCAATTTGACATTATTTCAGCGGCCTCTGAAATAAAGTCTTGTTGCCTGCCCGCGGCTGCCCGCGTCCAAACAAGTATCAAACGGAAGCTCCAGCAATACAAAATCAAATGGAAACTAAGTTCCAGATCTCAAAAGGAAGCTCCAGCAATGCAAAATCAAATAGCAACTCAATTCCAAATCTCAAAAGGAAGCTTCAATGCTAAATCAAATGGAAACTCAATTTCAGATCTCAAAAGGAAGCTCCAGCAAGGCTAAATCAAATGGAAACTCAATTCCAAATCTCAAAAGGAAGCTCCAGGAATGCTAAATCAAATGGAAACTCATTTCCAAATCTCAAAAGGAAGCTCCAGCAATACTAAGTCAAATGGAAACTCAATTCCAATTCTCTAAATCATATGGAAACTCCTTTCCAAATCTCAAAAGGAAGCTCCAGCAATACTAACAAATGGAAACTCAATTCCAAATTTGTAAATCAATCAGAAACTCAAATACAAATCTCAAAAGGAAGCTCCAGCAATACTAAATTAAATGGAAACTTAAGCCTACCAATACTAAAGCAAATGGAAGCAACATTGAACTGGATCTCAAGAGATTATTCTAGGCACCCCCTTTGTTGGGGGGGAGAGGGCCCCCCCTTTACTACTCCCAGGCGGACATTACTCCGAACATAGTCCGGATAGGTGGACAGGGTCCGCCGGACCGGTTGGACGGCCCGGACGGGTCCGGACGGGTCTGGATAGGTCCGGACGGGCCCAGACTATCAAAAGAAAGGTGATTGTTTCAAAAAAAGGAGTTTTGGTTCGGACTAGTCCGGGACGGACGCTTAAATACGCCTTTTGGACGCCTAAATACGCCTTTTCGGACGCCCCGCTGGACGCCCAAAACAAAAAAAGGTGTTTTGGATAGAAAAAGGTTTTTTGTATGTTTTTCTCGTCCGGACGCGTCCGGACGCGTCCGCCCGCCCGGACCCTGTCCACCTATCCGAACTATGTTCGGAGCAATGTCCTGTAAATGGTCTTTGTTCGGAGTAATGTCCACCTGGGATTACTAAAGGGGGGGGCCTCCCCCACCCCAACAAAGGGGGTGCCTAGAATAATCTCTCGAGATCCCGTTCAATGTTGCTTCCACTTGCTTTAGTATTGGCAATTAGACTTGAATTTCCATTTGATTTAGTATTGCTGGAGCTTCATTTTGAGATTTGTATTTGAGTTTCTGATTGATTTAGAGATTTGGAATTGAGTTTCCATTTGACTTAGTATTGCTGGAGCTTCCTTTTGAAATTTGGAAGTGAGGTTCCATTTGATTTAGCATTCCTGGAGCTTCCTTTTGAGATTTGGAATTGAGTTTCCATTTGATTTAGCCTTGCTGGAGCTTCCTTTTGAGATCTGAAATTGAGTTTCCATTTGATTTAGCATTGAAGCTTCCTTTTGAGATTTGGAATTGAGTTGCTATTTGATTTTGCATTGCTGGAGCTTCCTTTTGAGATCTGGAACTTAGTTTCCATTTGATTTTGTATTGCTGGAGCTTCCGTTTGATACTTGTTTGGACGCGGGCAGCCGCGGGCAGGCAACAAGACTTTATTTCAGAGGCCGCTGAAATAATGTCAAATTGGGGGTGAAGTTTCTGAAGTACTAGGTTGTTTGTGGGTTTGGTTGTAGGCAGTTTTTATACAAGAGACATGCAAGAAAACAAGAGCTTGGGGACGCTGGACATGTTTGATTTTGGGAAGCAGGCCCAAATCTAACAACAAAGCCCGAAGCTTCATAGGTAGTTACGCTGGGCTAGTTGTATATTTGCAGGGGGCCAGACAACAAGACTTTATTGTAGGGTCCCCTGAAATAAAGTCTTGGGCTCAAGTTTGGGGGCCTTTTTAAACAAGAGACATGTAAGAAACCATGACTTCTTGGGCAGCTGGACAGTTTGATTTTTGGGGAGCTGAAGAACAAGGTACCAAAGATCTAAGGACCAGGTGTTGGCTTGGCTACCTCTCCTCTTCTTTCTCTGTTTGTTCCATTTTGTCATGTTCCTTATACTTTTCGTTCAGAAAATTTGGGCAGGGGTGGCGGGTGCTTGTCTTTATTCCAGATGCATCTTTTGGTGAGCCACCCATTTGTCTTTATTCCAGGTGCAATGCTTAATCCTAGGTGGACGTTACTGAACGACCATTCAATTGTTAGTGACAGCTATTGTTCGCAGAATACTGTAGCATGCCTTGCAAGCTTGCCTGTTATCATATAAATACTGGACCCTTTGGCTGTAACAGTGAGGGTCTTGGGGCAGTTTAGCGCTGTGAGCAAAGCTTAAAAGCAATATGCTTGCTTCACGGCATCAACTTTAAGGGCAACTGGTACATGTTGCGCTAAGTCGCATTAGCCAGAGAACCACAGTTGAAGAGTTGAAGCAACATGTGAACTTGATCATCTAGGAGGCATGGTGAAACTGAACATACCCGAATTTGCAAAGTATTGTATATCATGCTTAAGTAAAATGTTTATTGTGTTGTTTGTAGATTGAAGCAATATCGGGCACATGGCCCAAAGGCACAGAGCTGTGGACAAGTACGGAATCACTCCCATCGCGCTGCTACAAAACATGCGAAAGGTATCCTTCTGAATTTGGTGCGACAATATTTGTTCATTGAAGTTGTACCTTCTTGGACTCTACAGTCGTGAAGTAGAGTGACATTACATGAACATGCGGTGAACTGCGCATGACACACTGTTTCAAGCCACTAGAAGACCGGGTTTTGCCATGAAAAACCATTTGTGATGTGTGCCGCGCAAAGCACACCGCACACACTAGAAGAAACAACTCGAAATGTCTAACTCCTGTTTTAAGGCATGTTGGTTCTTTGCATTGTCGCAGCGCCCTCCTAAACATCAGTTTGAGTTGTGGTGCACCAAGCCACCTGCTCGCTTCCAAAGGAAACACCTGACTTGGATGCGTTGCGACTCAGTGATCGGCTCCAATGCTAAGCAACACGCAACGGGGCAGCCAGCCTTCTCAACTTGTGCAACTCACAAATGTTTGTCTCACACATAAATGCAAGGCTAATAACGCGGCTTTTGTTTTCCCTTGTGTTGCGTTGGCATTCAAGCCGTTTGGGCCAAGGTCAAATTATGTTTGATGATTTATTTCATTCCAATATCAAAGGCATTGAGCAGCTGAGCTGAACCAGGAGGTTTTACATTGGGTGATAGCAAGGTCCGCACCGCTGCTTGAATTGGCACTTGCATCTTTCAAGCAAGCCCTGCACAGTGAACAGCAAAGCCCCAAAGAACACCGCTTATCGTGACAACACCGTTAAACAAATCCGCTGATGGACTTTCAGGGCTTTACTTGGCACAGAACCCAAAAAAGGTGTTTTGTTCAAGAAAAGGTGTTTCGACAAAGAATGCCATTCTTTACATTTTGCCCCAAAAAATTGGGGTGGTTTGAGACTCCAGGTATATATGTATCACGGGGCTCCGGACGTCAATGTGGATAGCATCTGAGAAGCTGTTGGTTAGAACCCATTTCGGGTCACCCAGTAGGGACAAGCCGGAGGGTCTGCCATACACAGCTGACGCTTAAATGGATTTCAGGGTTGTGCTGGCTGGTCAAACTGGAAAAAGATTCAGCATCGGAAACCACATTGTTGTGGCTGGTCATGGCCAGTAGCAGACTTTTAATGGATGAATTGCAACAAGCGCCATGGGCGAAAGAGTGACCTCAAGGACAGCTGTTCGAGGCTCGATGTGCTTCGGGGTGGGCCAACTTAGATTGGGGGGTGTCAAGGGACCTGGGAAGACTTGGCTCACGACGTACGCTGAGGTTATCCAGAGGACAACCACCCGGCCATGAGTGTCGCATGGTCCCCATTTTCGCTGGTACAAGCCTGTCGCCTGCACACGATTCAGGCAGGAATGGCGGCCTTGATTTTACGGTGGTCGATCGGGTCCCATCTGAGTTCTGAAACAAACCAAGCAGAGACGGAAGATTGCGTCATGCTTGGCCAGTTGTTTCGAACAATCAGAGCAAACATGCATGTGGGGGTGTTTGGCACTCCCAGATATTGATCATCCCGTTTGATCTCAGGGCGATGGGCATTCTCGAGCGATTGAGGCCGGCTCAGCCATTTTTTTTCCCTGCGAAGTGCCGTAGGGTACCCCTAAATTGCTCTATGAAAAGATAGGTGCATACAAGTAGATGGAATCATAGAGAGAGGGGGAGCGCACCTACTATTGGGCGATTGCGAGGGTCCCTGCCTGCTAGTCCTTTTTGGCAAGGCCTGGATCATGACAAGGGCGAACCTTTGTAGTGGCTCAAGGACTCATAGAAACATTGGCGGTGACTGTACACTCTAGTAGTGATAATGCGTGTTGGGCTGCAAATGCGTGTAATTTGTTTCATTCCAGTTCCAAGATAAGGACAACTTGGAACATGAACGCATGCAACACAACCATGAATTCTGCCTTGATCTGCGCGTATTCATTGCACGTTTTCGGAACGTTAGGATTGATCATGACCTTGAACAAGCAAATAGGGGTGTACAAGCTCCGGCTTTCTGTGACTGTCCGCGCCCAGTGAATGTCTGCCAAAGCGCAGCAACTCCAGTAGTAACCCCTGTAGTAAACTTCCTCAGTTGTTCAGTGGCTCCCTGTTTCCCTTTTTTTTGGCGGCTGCCCCACTAAAATGGTCTTCCCAAAAAATGGGTTCCCTTTTTTTCCAGGGTCACTGAACAACTGAGCTTCAAAAAGTACACCTGGGCATTCCTAAAACCTAGCGATTCCGCAAGTAAAGCACATTCCCGTGAGCTCCAGTAAACCCTAGGCCCTTGTAATCGGGACACGGCGATTTTGCGTCCGCAAAGTCCAGGCTGACCAGAGTCAACCCTGGCTGCGGCTGTTTAAGGCTGGGGTTGCCGCGAAGCGACCTGCGAGCCCCTGCACGTCACTCTGTTCCTCAACTTTCCCCCAACTTGGGGAGGTTTCTCAAACCGGGGACCACTCTTTGGATTGAAGGAAAACCAGAGGGAAACCACCTAGCTTGAGAAATGTGTGTGAAGAGACTTTTTTTGCAGAACACTTCCTCCCACAGGTGCTATGTTTGTGGGAGGAAGCGTATTCTTTCTCCAATCGAAGCGGACAAGGTGTAGAGGATGCTAGTCTTCACAGCCAAAGGGAAACCACCTACCTGGGGTCCCCAATTTGTTTGAAGCACCTATGCATGTGAAGAGACCTTTTTGCAGAACAACTTGCTTATGAGGGGCTCCATCTCGCAGCCAGAGCTCGATTCGGCTTGAAGCCTTGAGCTCCTGCAAAGCTGCGCTTGAATTTGATGATTGTTGTGCATGTGGCTGTGTATTTTTAAGGGGAACCCCCCTAAAATGGGTGGTTTTCCGTGTGGTGTCCCTTGAAAGCCACCAAAAAGGGGTACCCTCAAAAGATGGGTTTGTTTCAACCCTTGAGCACCTCTGGATGGGGAGAACCAAAAGGAAACCATCACAAGCCTGACATTGCATGCCTTTGTTGGTGTTGAAATCCGAAAGCGAAACCAAGGGGACACCCAGTTTTCGGGGAAATCCCAATTTGCGTAAATGCGTAGTGCAAACCGTGTCGTGTCTTCCATCCCAGGCTATGAAGTCATTTGAACATTCGCCCTGCGAGGGGTCGTCAAAGCTTTGGCCCCTCTTGGAGATCCATTTTGATGTGTATCCAAGAGGGGCTGAGCGTTGTATGTTGCCATACCGGTTTCCACCTGGCATTAAAAAACCGGCTTCATTTGGAATGGATGGCTAAACAGAAGCAACCGGAGCAAGCAGTCGACTACTTTTCGGGGGCCCGAGTCATGGCTCGCCCTGTGCAGATGTTTGTTGCTTCCCAGAGGCTCCAATTCGATGGACTTAGGGCCTTCAAACCACCTGGTTGTGCGACCGGGCTCCCAACCGATTCCCGATTCCCGGGCTGTCTACTGGGCTCGGGTCTTCCATAGAGGAGCCTTCGGGTTCCCCAGGCATCGACTCGCAGGTCTCGGTGTTTCACCACGGGCTCACCCACTTCTTTGCCACCCACGGCGCCGGGGCCGACACGGAGCGGGCGCGGTGGGTCGCCGATGCCCCTTGGACGGAAACACCCGGGGAGGAAGGAAGCAACTTCTTGACTAGTGGGGTGGATCTTTCGACTTTGACTTCTTGGAAAATCAAGGCGTTTTCCACCAAACCCCCAAAAAGTCAAGCTTTTTGCAGGGGGTCAACAGCAACCAAGACTTGGACATAAGGTCGAGACCCGTAGAGTGCGCCGGGAAGGGATGGCTATGGCTTCCCTGCGCAACTCCCGGCTTGGGACAGTTTTGCTGTTGATTGCTCCAGTCTGGAAGTATGTATTATCCCAGTTATGCTTGTGCAAGGTCGCTCATCTTACTTTCATTTGGGTGTTCCAGAGTGGAAGAGAGGAGATGAAAAGGCAAGAAAAGTGCGACGAGCTGGGTTTAGAGGTTGGAGTGGTACATCAAACCCCTTGCTATTTCTCCAAAGCCACGCGCAAATGGAGCGTGCTTTTGCCCAGCCTCTTTTCTTTCTTTTTTTTATCCCAGGGGCCCAAGGGGCTGGAGGAAGGCTTCTCAAGGCAAAGCCTCCGGAGTTGTTTTTTTCACTTGGATTTTTTGAGGTCTGGCATTTGTCAGTAGTTTTTTCATGTACTTGGATTGTTTGAGGTCAGTCTCATTGTCCTTCGGCGCGACATCATGTGGCCCCGGGCCCGGCACTTTTCGCAAACAGCACTGGCCGTTGGCCAACTGCGTCATTTGCCGCGAAAAGGCGCTTGACACATTGTCATGTCTTACGCCCTTTCCCCGGAAACGATTTGCTCATCCAGAAATGGAGACACCGCAGGAAGTAAATGGTCGTATATACTTTCCAGGCAACCACAAGGGGATGGTGATGGATAATTGTCCAAACATGTTGTTTACAGGTGTTCACAGCTTTTGCTTAAAGCAATCAACTCCAAGAATTACCCCTGTTTGGTGATATTTTCCTGGGTTTTGGTGATACTCCCTGGGTTTTCATCACTGAAGCTTCAGCTACCCCCTTCCCCCAGGTGAGCCGAGCTCTGCGGATCCTCACGCAGTCGCTGTTCCCCAGCTTCCAGCTGGCGGTCTTCCCTTTGCCCGGGGCCAGTTGGACGTCCACGAGGCTCCTCTCAGGCGCTGCCCGAGCGTCGTCCGGGGGTGCGCGTCCTGGGACCAGAGGGGGTGGTCATGGTAACCCCCCTCTCCTCCCTGTGGAATGATTGGTTAAGGGTTTGTTCAGGGTTTGTTCAGGGCTTGCTTGACTGTTGGCTGAGGCTTGCTTGAGGGTACGAGGGTTCGTTAGAGTGAGCTTAGGCTGGTGAGCTGGGTTTGGAGTTAGCCGAAGGGTGTAGACTCTCGAGTTAGCCCGGCCCGCATGCGAGGGGAAGGCTAGCAAACCTTGGACCGGGAACCATTTGGGGCTCGTCTTTTAGACCTTCCCCATGTAGGTGTCCTTTAGGTGTCCCTCTCAAATCACCACCTTTAAAATGGGCAACCTCAAAAAACGACCCCCCCCCCCCGTTTTTCGTTGTTTTACTACCGCTCGAATCCCGGAGGTTTGGGATAGAGCTTCGGTTGTATCTTTGAATCGCCGGCTCACTTGATCCACTCGGCGAAGACATGAAAAGGGGCTTGCCCATATACTGTGGATGGTGGCGAAATCCAGAAATCGCACCACCGTTCGGAAACCCTGGTTTCTGATTCGATTTGTAAATACCAATGAACAATCGTTTCAACCATGGTTTCCCAGTGGTGCATGAGTTCGTCTATCCACAGTGTGTCTTCAATGTGATATATGGACCCCCCCCCCAGTTGACCTTTCACCCAAAGAACCAGCCAGAAAGCAGAGACACCCTCTCTCTTGAAAGGGTAAAGGTGGCTTCAAGTTTGTTTTCCTCCAAAACCATTCCCCAACGGTGTTGTCGTTTCCAGCACTACACCTGCAGGGTGCAAATAGAGGGACCCCTTTTTGAGCTCTTAGGCAGTATCTTTCCCATCCCGAACAGAGCGCCAAGAGGCCATTCCTGCGTACAGTTACCTTTGTTTGCTTGGGACCCCCTTTGCTTTTTCCCATCGCCTCCAGCTCCCGTTTTGTTGATTGGTCGTTTTAGCATCACCTGCTGGCTCGATGTTTGAGTTCACTTTGGTGCTAAGGGGGGGATGTAAGAACCCCTGAACAAATTGACATGGCGAACGCACACTTGCTTGCTGGATGTTTGCTGGGCGGTGTGAAATTGGTTGGCTATGTCCTTGTACGCTAGCCCAAGCCACACCTACGCGTCTTGGCGGGCCAACACGTGTTGTAAAAAAAACAAACATGAAGTTGAGTTGTTACCTACAAGGGTTGCCTCAGTTTACTCCTCCTGCTTTTGGATCGAATGGTCTGACGTATTTCCTTACAACCATGCAAGGTGTTGCCAGAGGTGAGGAAATCACTTGGCTTGAAGATGAACCCTCCCCAGTCTTTCCCGACAGCCTTCTTTTCAGAACATGGTCTGAAGGTGGAGAATGGTTGGTCGGAGCCGAGGAAGGACGAGGAGGAGGGGGTATGTGTCAAGATAGGTGCGACCACAGTGCTTTGTCTTCCCTTTCAACCAACCTCAAGAAGGGTAGCGAGCGTTAAAAACAACAAGCTCAATGGAGAAACCAAACTTTGCGAGTTTTGGCTCCGGCGCGACACAGGCTACATGCTGCTCTATGACGACCAGGGTGTATCGTTAGTGTATGGCGCCTTGGCATCAGAACCCGAAACAGATACACACGCCAGCGTGTCATCTGATTTGACGGTTGAACGCCGATTCTGGGGTCTTCCGTGCTTGGTCACTGACAGTTTTGTCCCCCAAGTAAGGAAGAGAATCATCGATTCTTTGGGAGCAGCCTCATTGAAAGGCTTCCTTTCCCAAATTTCCTCTGACTGAGCTTGAGACATTGCTCCCATCATGTTTTTGCCCATGGTAAGGGCCAGACAAGTGGACTTGATGAGACTCTGAGATGGTTTTTGCATAAGGTCAGTTCATCCACACACAGGCCAGGGACGGCCACGGATTCAGATGGTTTACAGTCGCAGAAACCGGTAGTTTCACTCAGAGACTTGGCAGATGTGCCATGGTCAAACGACCCCTTTGCTTGGCATGGGGATGGCATGGTCATCAACCTCTATGAGCTTTGGGGAACCAATGTAAAGATTTGTGAGGGAGCCTTGACCACGAACAACATCAGGAATTTTGACCATGGCGCAGCCCACTGGACTTTGACCACTTGCTGTTTTTTGTTGGACACCAAGGTGGGCCATGGGTTTTTCTCGTTTTTTTGTTCCTGATACCCAGTGGATTTCACAAACCGCCAAAACTGGAGGGGCCCAGGCTTCCCATCTCGAGGTGAGCTGCACGCGCACTGTGACTCCACTGCGGGGTTTGCAGCCTATGAGGACGATGCCTGCAAGGTGCCCGCTTCAAGTTGTCGAGCCACGAAAGTCGGGTCGAGGTGCATGCCGCCGCTTGGGCTGACTCATAGGCCTTCACACCGCCGAATGGGTGTGACCAGGTGCGGTGCAAAATTCAACTACCAGGGGACTGCAGGTTCTAGTCCATGTGTCCATTTAATGTTGGCACTTGATTAATAAAGGGCCCCCCTCCCTCAACAACGGAGGCGCTGGAAAAAAGTAGGCTCACTTTTGGGACGTGCAAACAATGGAGGATTTTGGGGCCCAATTCTACTTTAGTATTGCAGCCACTTCCTTTTTGCAATTCTATTTTGGTATTGCAACCACTTCTTCCTGAGCATACTTTTTGAAATACTACTTGCCACTTCTTCCTGAGCATACTTTTTGGAATACTAATTACGTTAGTAGCCATTCAAAGGGTGTGCCTTTCAGCCAGGGAGGGCTTGAGATAGAAAAAAACTAATTGAAAGGGGAGTACTTTTAAGTAAGCGGGCCACCAATTTAAAGCGGAATGCTTTTGAGTAAAGCAACTGACAGTTTATTTTCTGGAGGGGGCTGGGGGCTTGCAACTAATGTGGTGCCCCTAAAGAATGCCATTGTTGTGGTTCAGTGGAGTCTGTGAGGGGTACCCTTGTCCTGATTGTGTTTTTTAAAACCACGGTTTAATAAAGAGTTTGCAGTTTCAGGGCTGGGGATGGTTTTCAAATTTTCAGAGGTTTCAGCTGGCTTTGGGTTTTGTGTTTGAGCAACCAATTAAAAGGGGAATGCTGTTAAGCAAGTGGGCGACCCATTGAAAGGGGAGTACTTTTAAGTAAGCGGGCCACCAATTGTAAGGGGAATGCTTTTGAGTAAAGCAACTGACAGTTTATTTTCTGGAGGGGGCTGGGGGCTTGCAACTAATGTGGTGCCCCTAAAGAATGCCATTGTTGTGGTTCAGTGGAGTCTGTGAGGGGTACCCTTGTCCTGATTGTTGTTTTTCATGTTTTAAACACGGTTTAATAAAGAGTTTGCAGTTTCAGGGCTGGGGATGGTTTTCAAATTTCAGAGGTTTCAGCTGGCTTTGGGTTTTGTGTTTGAGCAACCAATTAAAAGGGGAATGCTGTTTAAGCAAGTGGGCGACCAATTGAAAGGGGAGTACTTTTAAGTAAGCGGGCCACCAATTGTAAGGGGAATGCTTTTGAGTAAAGCAACTGACAGTTTATTTTCTGGAGGGGGCTGGGGGCTTGCAACTAATGTGGTCCCCCTAAAGAATGCCATTGTTGTGGTTCAGTGGAGTCTGTGAGGGGTACCCTTGTCCTGATTGTTTTTTTTTGTTTTAACACGGTTTAATAAAGAGTTTGCAGTTTCAGGGCTGGGGATGGTTTTCAAAATTTCAGAGGTTTCAGCTGCTTTGGGTTTTGTGTTTGAGCAACCAATTAAAAGGGGATGCTTTTAGTGGGCCAAGGGGAATGCTTTTAAGTAAGTGGGCCACCAATTAAAAGAGGAATGCTTTTGAGTAAAGCAACTGACAGTTTATTTTCTGTGATTGTTGGGGGCGGATGGTTTGTTTTAGATTAACATTGATTTGTGGAAATATGTTTTGGAATTTTCCCCCCGGGCAAAACAACTTTTAGTGATTCTGGTCCCCATCAACAATGGGGGCAAACCAGAATAAGGAAAAATACTTTTAGTTACCCAACGTCCCCTGATTAATCGTGCGTTAACATTACCAGGGTTTCCAAAATGGTTACCTATGTTGGACCAACAGCCATGCACGACCAGGTGCAAGTTGTCCACCTCTCCATTGATACCAACACCTGCCACCCGGACTGCAGGAAGTCTCGGGATGGGCCAAAGGTCCTCAGCTGGGCAACGCTTCAGGGGGACAAGGTCAACTATTGGCTCATACATTCTTTACCCAGTCCTGCCCCAAAGATGTTGCTTGCTGTATACTGTAGCTGCTTGGGGAAGTGTTGGCGATTATTTGCAGGATGCCCAACTGGTGTAGGAACGACCCATGTGCATTTGTCTGAAGGTGTTGCCCTTGCCCAACGCCTCCGCTGTGTTTGGCCAGGGTGGCTGAAATGCTTGGGTGCTGCCGTCGTTTGATTCCCTTGATCTTGGCTGGTTTATTTGGAGCCACGCGTCCCCTCACAAACAAAGAAGGCAAGAGCAGCCGCTTGACATCTCAGTTCGGGCCCAGGACCCTACATGAAACATGGGCTCATTTGCCTCGGAACGCAGACAACATGGAAGCCTCGTTCACTCATGCGCAGCAGACAGTGTGTGGTTTGTAGAGTTGCACGGCAGATAGGCAAAAACCAACTAGGTAACGGAGGTACTTACTCAAACATTTCCCATATCGGAGGGTGTAAAAAGCAAACATGGCCGTAGCTTCTAGAAACAAAAGCGCTCCTTGCCGGGGGGTTGCGTGACCCACCTCCGTTCGCAAGTCGCAGAAAGCTCAGGTGTCAGTGAGCGAGTGGGCATCGACTGTAGCTGCTTCAGCCTGGGGGATCACCACTTCTCCACGAGGAGGGCGGCAAAAATTGGGACGGTTGCCAAGCATGTTTCAAAGTAAGGCAGCGGACCTGCGCCACTTCAGTGGGCCTGGCTGGTGACAGACAAGTATGTCGAATAGAAGTCGGGCACCGCTATTATGTGTTGGTAAGTTGCTGTGACCTGCATCAGTTGAAGGTGGGCTCCTGAGCAGCACAATGCTGTGCGAAAAGATAGTGAAAGCTATATGGCATTTTGTTTGCGGGAGTTTGATGGGTTTCTTTTTGGTTTCCCTCTAAAACCAAGCAAACGGGGTACCCTCAGCAAAAAGAAACAGACCCTGAAATAAAACATATTTATATATATATAGTATAGAGAAATATGATTCCCCTGATAATTCCCTGGCTTTTTGAGCAGTTTTCCAACGGAAAGGACATGACCAGCACACGACCCCAGAGAGGCCTCGGCACTTTTCGCAGGACCTGCGCGGAGAAGATGCTGTGGCTCCGGGCCATCAGCAACGTCAAGGCGATCCCAGTTTGGGGTGGATGAACATCCATCCACCGATTTTGATGTTCACCAGGGGTTTCCAGGGTTTTGACCCACAGCACGGAGGACCCCGGCCCTTTCCGAACTCCAACTCGTTTCCCAGGCCTTTATAGCAAGCTGTCTAGGCCTGATAGCTTTCATGGGACAGTGGGTGTAGGAGGGGGGCTGCTGTCCAGCACTTTGCCAGAGGCTCCAATTCGATGGACTTAGGGCCTTACAACCTGGCGTTGAGACACCCAACCACCAATTCCCGGGGTGTCTCATGGAGGGGTCGGCTCTGGGTTTGCGCAACGAAACAGCTCGTCACGTTTCAACGAAGCTGCGATTCGTGCACCAGGCGCGTAAAAAAAAAAAAAGTGCTTCTCGCGCGAAACTCGGAAATTATTTACGAACGCTTTTTGGAAACAAACGAATGTCAAGCGCAGGCATGTAGGTCAACTCCCCAAGACCCCCAACCTTTCAGAGGAGAACCCTTCGGCTCCACGTTCGACAAAACATCGTACAAGCAACGCAGTGAAGTAAACCAGTGAGCTCTGGCTACGAATGGATCCTTTCCCAGAAGCCACGAGTCGGTCCTTTCCCGACAGGTGAAGCTGCGACACCTGGCAGCTACGCCCACCCCCAACGAGCTCCGTTTCTACCGTGCTGCTGTACGAGAGCAGCGCCCCGCAGAAATTGGAACCGAGCGGGGGATGAAATGGCCAGAGCGCTGTATGGTGGGTGTTTGTGTGCGTGTCTCCTTTCCGTGGTCATGCTTTTGTTTGGTTTTGCGGTGGTGGAAGTGCCTTTAGCAGTGTTTGTTGAGTGTACGTCATGTTTGTTCAAATTCAAAGTTTCAAGGGTGGTGTTCAGGATATTCCTGGGATCCCGTGTCAGTGCCCTTTTGACATCGTTGTTCTTACAATCATCATCGTCGTTGAAGTTGTTGCTGTTGCTGTTGCTGCTGCTGCTGCTGCTGCTGCTGTTGTTGCTGTTGCTGTTGCTGTTGCTGCTGCTGCTGCTGTTGTTGCTGTTGCTGTTGCTGTTGCTGCTGCTGCTGCTGCTGCTGCTGTTGTTGCTGTTGCTGTTGCTGTTGCTGCTGCTGCTGCTGCTGCTGTTGTTGCTGTTGCTGTTGC